AAAATTACTTTACTTTTTAAAAATAGATTCAGAGTCTTGCTATGTTGCCCAGGCTGGTCTAGAACTCCTGGACTAAAATGATCCTCCCACCTCAGCCTCCCAAAGTGCTGGGATTACAGGCGTGAACTGCCGTGCTTGGCCAAGACCTTGTTTTTTATACCCAGAAGTAGAATTGCCTGATGATATGTTAATTCTCTTTTTAATTTTTTGAGGAACCATTTACACTTAACTAGACAATGCAGTAAAACAGTGTTCCATTGCCTTGGGTCCCAGATTTAGTATATCCCTGAAAGTCAGGGACATCTAAGACAAGATAATCTTGGGATTTATGTTTGGCATGAGGTCCTGGGCAACAGGGGAGTGGGGCAGGGCCAAAGTTCTGGTAACTAAAACCTACTAAAGTTTTCCACCCTAGCCCATCCTGCCTACCTGGCTTCCATAGTTTAGAGGATGCCCATTGGTACTGTGGTTTGAGCAGAATGACAGGCAAGCTTCAGGACAGGTCCTAAATAAATATGGATTCTTTTAGGCTTTGTAGTGAATCTGCATTGTTATTATTTAGAGAAGCATTAAGGCATAATGATTAAGAACATGGATTCTGGAGCTTGACTTCTTGGGTTTAACGCTCAGCTCGGCCTTTATTTACTACTTGGGAGGTTAATTAAATTATCTGTGCTACAATTTCCTTATTTGTGAAGTAGGTATTATAATAATATCTACCTTGTAGGATTATTGGGAGAATTAAATGAATACATGTAAGTGCTTAGAAAAATACTTGACATATAGCTCTCACTCAATGTTAGTAATAATATTATTATTTTTTAGAAACAGGGTCTTGCTATGTTGCCCAGGTTGGAGTGCAGTGGTGTGATCATAGCTCACTGCAGCCTCTACCTCCTGGGCTGAAGTAGTCCTCCTGCTTCAGCCTACCAAAGTGCTGAGATTACAGGCAGGAGCCACCACGCCTGGCCGAATAATATTATTTTAAATTAGTACAGGTTATGATGTGGCTTTCCTTTTTAAATTTACTATTTTTAAAAATTTTTAAATTTATGTGGCTTTCCTTAAAAACCAGTAAGAAGAGTAAGATTCCATCTGTGGAACTTTTTGGATTGCGTATACTATGAATGAAAAAGGTGTAATGGCAATTTAAAGAAATAGGATTTGCTCTCAGATGAGCAGGATTAGATTGTAGCTTGATTAATTCTCATCTGTTTAGTATTATATGGATTGGATTGTAGCTTGATGAAACATAGAAAACAGATTTCTAGTCACATAGCAAATCAATGCCATGACAGGAGTTGGTCACAGAGGTTTGTGTTGTCTCTTGCTGTCTGGACCCTCCCAAACACTGTCCAGGAATGAGATGCCCTTGTACATACCCCATCCACCACTTCATTCTAAGCAGATGTCAGTCACCACTATGAAAGCAGAATCTGATAGCACTAAACACTTGAGTCAAATAATGGACTCCTCTAATCCATAAGGCAACCTTATGATAATTTGACTTGCAATGTAGCTTATGTACATGGAGAGGCTATATAACCTGGATGACTTGAATATATGCTTGCATATCTAGTTATAAGTCTTACTAGAAATCAGTACATTAGTTTTTCGTCTTTACATATCAGTCTCAAGAGCTTTGTTAATCCAAACCTGCTTCCGATGAGTAAATCCATTCTCCCTGTACTTACTAAGTAGGTAGTTGAGCGTGCAAAGCTAAGACCCCCAAACCCTGGACCTTGGTAGAGTCACCAAGATAATGTGTCCCTCCCTTCAGTCTCATTGTTTTCTTGGAATATATCCCAATGCCTTTTCCAGATCATCATATTACTAGCTGCCTTAATTTACTTCTATTTTCTTTATTTCTATTATCTCTAAATGTGTGGTGGCAGAGATATTCTTCCATATCAACATTGCCAGTTTGCTGAAGAGGGGTGGAGCAACCCAACTTCTCTCTCTCAATCGCTGGGCCAGCCTGACATGACCAAGAATCACTGTGTAGTGAGCAAGGAAAGCTAATCACTGCACTGCAGGATCTCACTTTGTGGAACTGTTGCTTTGCTATATGCCTTCTTATAGCAGATGGAGCTGAAAGGAACCTTAAAGATGAA